AATTGAACCTTAATTAATGGTTATTTTTCTTAATGGAACATGCAACAGATTATGGGCTCTTGACCATGTCCAACCAAATTAAGTGTCATAATTAAGACCATTAATTGTTTTAATTAAAGAACTTGAATTAATCAATAAGGGTGGCCCTTTCATCTACTTTAGGTGTGCTCTTTGGATAGGTTGGGTGGAGCAACACGGCTATTGTTCTATTCACTATATACAAAAAACGAAAATGAACATGCGAGAATCATTGAAACTTAATCAATTTAATTGTAAATAGAAATACAATTTTATAAGAGTTAAACACCAAACTAACCAAACTCATTTCTTAGTACACATCCATCAATCAATCAATGATGAACTTGTTACGATCATGTTACTTTGATATATTATTGCTTCTTCTTTGACTTTGGGTCATCTCATCTCAATTGAAAAAACCAATTCCCATGTTCATTTACTTATGATTAATTAATTATCAAATCCATCTAAGTAGCTCATAAAAGACTGAGCAAAAAAAAAGTAGCTCATAAAAATTTTTAAATGTGTTCTTCCAAAGTCTTAGAATTTCTTGGAGACCCTCTCATTCTTTCTTGGTGGCCTAGTAAACACAGGCCACCTTAAATTTTAAATTCCTATAACACTAAATTACTGGATTTGGGTGGTGAGTTCTTATCTATAATGAAAATCACAGAGCCATCACTTAGTGGCCCTAGGTCCCTATGGAAGAAATTCAATGGCAAATTATCATGGGACCACTTCTTGGGCTTTGCCCATGAATTTCACTTTAATTGAAAAAAAAACCTAAATTTAAACTAAAATATATATATTAACATTATCCGGATATAATAAGGTATTGTTTTATAAAATAATTAGACGATATATACTGACAATACGTTAACTACATATTATTTGAAATAAAATAAGCATAAAATTATTTTAAAAAATCATTAAATACCCAAAAAATATAGGGATAAGGATTGATAGAAAGCACAAACTTCTAAAGTAGAGAATTTGCCTTGCAAGTTATGTTTGCTTCTTTGAACTAACATGGCTAAGCTTCACACAAACTTCTTGGATTCTTGTTTTTTCTTCATAATTAGGAAAATTCTTTCCAAGTTTTCTTTCACTTGTATAATTTGTTCTTCTCTTTTAGCCCAAATCAGAAGCTTCAATCTTTGTTTCTTGTAGGAAGCACACTCTACTAAACAAACGTGTCTTGTCCAATTCTCATCTTGTTCTTTGTTCCATTTGATTCGCTGAAGGAAATTGGTTTGGGTTCTTACAGCATCAACCAAAACCGTGTTTGTTCCAACCGAACTCAAGAACTAAAGTCATCAGTAGATTAAATTGGAAACCAATTTCCACGTCTTCTTGATTAGAATTCTAGCACCAACTTTGACGCATACCCATTTGCCACGTGTCCCACGTAATGAATTTTCTTTCATTTTGGGACCCACTTTTGTTGCCAGTTCCTATGATCAATCGTGCGGCCCTTAAAAGGGGTTTTCCGCATGTTCTGATGACCTTGGATCTCAGCCTTCCAATTTTGTGTCAATCTTCTCTCCATGGTTTTCAGCAATCAAACAAGGGGGAAATGGTTTTCCTCCAAGGAAAGGAAGAGTAGTTCACAGAATTACTCTTTGTTTTTTTGCAATAAATATATTGGGGGAAAAGAATGAAGAATTCCTTGTCTTGGGATAGAATTGGAGTTGTGGATGACTTTGCACTTCCAATTCTTTTAGCAAGTGAAGACAAAATGAAAAAGTTTTGTCCAACCAAATGTCTAACTTTAGAAAATAAGAGGAGAAAGTGTACTTTTTTTCTAATCACAAAGTTCATAAATCAAAGGTTTTGGATCAGGATATTCTAACAACTACTGATCTTTAAACGTTTTCTTGATAATGCAGTCTATTTAAGACTTAATTTTAAGAAATTATATTATCCTGCTATAATAATTTGTTAATTTTTCTGCCACTGCAGAGTAAATGATGACACTATGAGTAAATATTTTCATTTAATGTATTATTACAGGAAAATCTTAACTGATGAGCTAATTAATTACATCAAATGGCTGAGTAATAAAGTAGATGGAGACCCTTAACCCCAAGACATACTGTGATAAAACGAAAAATATTGGCAGACAGCAGACAGCAGACAGCAGACAGCTAATGGATCTTAATTTTCCTTATTGATTATTTTCGGTGACAGGGTTGTTACATTGGCTGCTCTTTTGCTGTCCCTTGCCGAGAAGATTCTTTCTCTTTGGTCCTATCAAACTTCAATGTTTCAAACATTAACTCAAAAGTTGACCAAGCCAAGCAAGCCTCCCCTGTGTTTTGTCACTAGTCATAGCCTCCCCCCCGTCTTGTTAAAGCTTGAAACTTTGATCTACATTTTTCCCTTATAAACAAACCCTTTGTATTCACTAGCCTTAAAGCTGGATTCTTTTTCATCACACCCAGACCCCTCAGCATATTCCGTAGTCACCATCTTGGTTTTGGGCTTTTCTCTTTTATCAGTGTGAAAACATCACCTTTGATCCAAAGTTCTTTTTTTTTTTTTCTAAGTTTCTGAATCTGGGTCTTTTTCCTTCTACCTCAACCTTAGTAAATCACTGAATTCTGATCCAGTTTCTTAATTTTGTATCTGTTTCATCATCTGGGTCTTTTTCTTTCAATCCAAATTCGGTTTTGACAACTTGGCAGTTACAAGTGAAACCAGATGGGTGGTTGTCTGACAAAAAGCAAAGAATCAAAACCACAGCATAATGGCTACAGATCAGGAGCAACAACTACAGCTGCTGTGCATCAACAAAGATACCAAGAACCTGTGAGGCCCGCACCTGTTCAACCCCAATTTCACCACATCCCTGAAAAGCCAGGTGCTCAGACACCTTGGAAGCCGGTTGCCCCAGCACCAAGCCCCAAGCCTGCCCCCAGGGTTGATACAATTCTTGGTAAACCATATGAAGATATAAGGATGCGCTATACAATTGGTAAGGAATTGGGAAAAGGTCAGTTTGGTGTAACTTATCTTTGCACTGAGAATTCAACTGGAAAGCAATATGCTTGCAAGACAATTTCTAAGAGGAAGCTAGTTACAAAGAATGATAAGGAGGATATGAAAAGGGAGATACAGATTATGCAACACTTGAGTGGACAGCCTAATATTGTGGAGTTTAGAGGTGCTTATGAGGATAAGCAATCTGTTCACCTTGTAATGGAATTGTGTGCTGGTGGTGAGTTGTTTGATAGGATTATAGCTAAGGGACATTATAGTGAAAGGGCAGCTGCATCTATCTGCAGGGCAATTGTTAATGTTGTCCATGCTTGTCATTTTATGGGTGTAATGCATAGGGACCTTAAGCCCGAGAATTTCTTGTTGTCTAGCAAGGATGCGAATGCTCTTTTGAAGGCCACAGATTTCGGGTTGTCGGTGTTCATTGAAGAGGGTAAATTCTTGTCACTCTTTATATTTGGTCAATTGCACATTAAGTTATTGGTCCTAAATTGCAGGAAATTTGTGCATATGTACATGGAAATACTGATTGGTCTTAGCCACCTGCTTGTGAAAGATTCGAAGTTTTTGCACTAACTCCTAACTAGTATAGTGAGTATTGAACGGAGAATAAGTCAATTAGGTTAATTATAATTTTGAAATTTTATTGGTTTGGACATCATTAGCTGCCAACTAAGATGGCAGGTAAGTTTCCCCAATTTGTTCTGCCCGTCTCCTTCAATTCATTGTATGCATGTTCATTCACTATTTAGTTTAACCGTATACCATATATAGTATTTTGAAATTTTAACTTCTGCTCTCTTGGAGCATCATTTGTTACTAAATAAGAATGGCAATTGGGCGATTGTGATACCTGGCTGATTAAGTCCGAAAAACCATCACTTAGAAGTTGAATTGGTCAGCAGTCATTAACTGATATTGCATTAGCTTCCAGCATTTTTATTATTGTTTCCTCTATGTTTATGCCCTAATCTTGTTACAATATTTGGCATTGAATATGTTTAAAAAACTATGCATTAATGGCAACTTTCTGAAATTCTTATTTACCTTCTATTTTCTTGATTTCCTGTACACCGACTCAGAGGTATAGATCTCATTTACATGATGGCGGAATTTGACTTCTATAGCTGTGTGAAAGTTATATAGCTTTAAGCTTTAATTTAAGCGTGAGCCATGCAGTTTGTAGTCTTTCTACAAATTTTATATCCAGTATAAACTTGCATGTATATATGTGGATGTCTGTAAACACGTATAATATGCATATGTGAATTCACATATCCATACACTCTAACATGCATTATGCTTGTTTTCGAAAGTAAATGGTATTTCTTTCTGAAAAGGAAAAAAAAAAATCGTATCTCATGTATGTCCATGTGTAAATAACCATTAGCATTCTTTTCTGATTGCTCTTGGTACTTTTGGCAGGAAAGGTGTATCGGGATATAGTTGGGAGTGCTTACTATGTTGCTCCTGAAGTATTACGGCGTAGATATGGAAAGGAAATTGATGTTTGGAGCGCAGGAGTTATGTTGTATATCTTACTCAGTGGTGTGCCTCCATTTTGGGCAGGTAATTATTTGAACCACACTATCATTTTGCTCGTGGAAAATAATATCATCAGTTGCCAAAAACTATAGCTTTGACTGTACTAAATAGCCTTCGAAACTGCCACTTCAATGTTAGTATATAATTTAATGAATGTTTTTGCCTCAGAAACGGAGAAGGGGATATTTGATGCTATTTTGGAAGGAGAAATTGACTTTGTAAGTGAACCATGGCCTTCTATTTCGGACAGTGCCAAGGACCTAGTCTGCAGGATGTTAACACAGGACCCGAAAAAGAGGATCACTTCTGCTCAAGTCCTAGGTACTTATTTACAGAATAGTTTCCCTTTTTTTTTTTGTTTGGTTGGCCGGGTGGGAATTTATATAAGTAGTTAATCACTGGTGATTCCTTGTAGGTTCAAAAATAATTTCTTTAAATGTTCATTCTATCTTCATCTGCAACGCATCCTGGCATTCTATCATGTTAATGTGTTAAAGGAAAGTCAATTGTAACGTTGCAAAATTACGTTCTAATATATATATGAATCCGTGTGCGTGCTTGCGTGTGTGTGTGATTTGTTTGATTGCATCATGCTGGGCTTGTGAGTTACTATAATTCATGTCAAGGCCCAACCAAAAGATTGAAAATCTGTGATTTATGCAGAGCATCCATGGATACGAGAAGGTGGAAGTGCATCAGACAAGCCACTAGACAGTGCAGTGCTTTCTAGAATGAAGCAATTCAGAAGAATGAACAAACTAAAGCAACTTGCCTTAAAGGTAGGTTCAAATTTATTTATATGGTATCTTTGATTTCTAAATGTGGCAGTAAGAGAGAGATAGGCATGTGACTCTTTAGTCATGAGATAGGCCTGTTTTATTTGATATACAATAGCAAATTAGTACGTCATTTTGCAGTCCCCAGTTATTCTGTTGGTTTCTACTTGAGTAACTTTACTTGCCGTCTAATAACAAGCCTGGTGGATTATAGGTCATTGCAGAAAATCTTTCTACTGAAGAAATCCAAGGTCTGAAGCAGATGTTTGCAAACATTGACACTGACAACAGTGGCACAATCACCTATGATGAACTTAAGACTGGATTAGCTCGACTTGGATCAAAGCTCACGGAGGCTGAAGTTCAGCAGCTGATGGAAGCTGTATGATACTATTTCAATCTATAATATGTAGATCTTTTTAGTTTATATCATACATACTCACCTTGGTTTTATCTTACAGGCTGATGTGGATGGAAATGGTAGTATTGACTACATTGAATTTATCACTGCTACAATGCACAGACATAGGCTAGAAAGAGACGAACATCTGTATAAAGCTTTTCAACATTTTGACAAGGACAACAGCGGGTAAGTTTTCTTCATAGCCAGAGCTGGCCAGACATATAATGCTAGAATTGCAGTGTCATATTTGATCTTGTCTTGGTGTGTTCAGTTTTGCTTTCGTTTGGTGGATATAAGCATGCTAGTAATTGCAGTAGCATTTCAGGCTAGTATTCCATAATTCCAAGTTTCATGTGAAATAGATAAGATTTAGCTGTCTGAACTAGTCATATTTGGGGCACATAAATCAATGACATGGGACCCATGATTAAACCATTAAGTCCTCTTTCTTTGGCCAGCACAACCATTAATTAAGATATGCTAGGAGTCAATAACTTCTTTGAAACTCTTTTCAGGTATATCACAAGAGATGAGCTAGAGACAGCCATGAAAGAATATGGAATGGGTGACGATGACACAATCAAGGAAATAATATCTGAAGTTGACACTGACAATGTAAGCCCCCTTTTCTACCTTTTTTCTACCCTTCAAAGCACATTTTCTTTGCAGCATGATGCATTAGTTCTTACTTATGCCTTGTTTACAGGATGGTAAAATCAATTATGAAGAGTTCCGTGACATGATGAGAAGTGGAACCCAACAAGGCCAACTCTTTTAGAAATAGATGACTGGACTTGCAGAATCGGGGAAAATTCCCCGAGAGTAGTGCACAATGGCTTTAAGAGATCTCTAGGCTCCTCGTTACATAACTTTGTCTGGTTTGGTTTTTCATTTTCGATTGTAATATATTGCATATAGTTATAACTTTACATTTTTTTGGTGAGTCTTGTGCCTGATATATGACGGATTTTGAGAAGAAAGATTGTTTAAGCTAGAAGTTTGCTTATCTTTTTCGATGTCCTCAATTCTGGTTCCCCCAGAGTGTAGAACTCACTCCTTGAGATCACAGCAATGTTGGTTATCACTTCTTCGAAATAAATATTTCAGTCTTGCCTATGGCAAGGCAACATCTTAGAATCATTCTGCGTTAAATTATATTAATGTGATTCAATCTTGTCACCATGAATTGCCTTTTGAAACTTCATACAACCGTATCTGGTGTTTCAGTTGCCGAAGGTGCCTGGAGAACTACCATATACTTCATTAATAAGAGTCCATCATGCATGAAATTTCAATCTAGATGAAGGCGAAACCCTCATATCTGGAGTTGAGAAACACAAAGCAAAATTGGAAATGTCACGGATACATGTTTTCAATACAAAAAGCATGTCCAAACATGTAAGTTTGAGACTCATCTTATTTATTACTGATATTGAATTTGTGACAGGACACCATCTTGAATTATAGAACCTTGGGTTACCGGACCGCATGGTCCTTATCTGTATCTAGCACCTACTGAGACTCAAAATCCTTAGTACCAGTCACTACCTCCCAGCCATCTGAGCTTTCAAGTAGACTAATGAAATGAAGCTCCCAAGGGCAAAGCCAACCAGAAACAGGGAGCTCTCATTCGTTTGCTTTCTAATTCATCCTTATCCCACATAGATGCAAAGCTAAGGCAAACAACATAGAAGGTTCTAGGAGTGCCTTGGCAGAAAAGAACCGGTGGCTCAAAGCCCTGGAGCCAGACAAGGTCAAAGTCCAACCTCAAACAGACCCGACTATGGTTGCAAAGCGCATATTACGGGCCAAATGGACAAAATTGCAGTTGTAACATCAGTTGAAGCAATAGCCCAAATTTGAACAAAAGGGAAAGGCAGGGTATGATAAAGATAACCAAGTTCATGCACCAAAGTACTCATAGTGCATAGGATTTTAAATTGGCTTGTCCTGAACCTGAAACACCAGCAGAGACCAGAAGGCAGAGGCAAGACAGGAATAAAAGGCAAAGCTTTAACGCAAATACTATCCATTATTATTAATGAAACTCTAACATTGGATTCCATTATTGGTCCACCCCAACAGGGGGTGCAAAGACGAGACTAAAACAAAGACAGCCTAGAAATTTATTTCATAAAGGTCCTAAATCATGACAAAAGCAGCAATAACTTCCCTAGAAACCATGAATCTTGATTTGATCCTTTTTCACGATGCCAGCATTAACAAGGAACTGGGACACGTTTTTGCGCTGATCACCTTGGAGCTGAATGATTTTGCCGAGCTCTTTGTCATTCACGACATTCCCATTACAGCAGAACTCCTTCTTGAGACACTTGAGAATTTTCTCGTAGCTCAAATCCTGTTTCAGGCCTTGAACAGTAGTCAAGCTTTTCTTTCCATTCCTCTGTTGGATTCGTATATGCACATACTCCTTGGCTCCAGTGCCACCAAATTCCTCAGCCTCGGCGAATGGATCGAAAGTAGTAGGGATCTGGATGCCTATATCAACCATGTACTTAGTTAAATAGAAACTTGGAACGACCTACGGGTGCTTGCTTGTCTCTTGAGCGCTAGTACTGTAAGAAATAACAAACCATGAATTGTTAGAAATCAACAACTTATAGTGTCTGAAAAGCTTATCAAACATCTGAAACTCTATCAATAACAAGCAGAAAAAGCACTACAAAGAGGTTTACATATGATCAAACACAAAGAGACATAAAAAAGCAGAACCTCGTATCATTAATATCAGAACTCCCTATTAAACCAAGCCTACAATTTTCTTTCACGATCAACGTGTTTAAACAAAACCCAGGTCCAAACCAGGGCCATAAAGCCATTCCATCTTTCAAACAGAAGAATACCCAAGACCTTAAAATCGAAACATCTCTTCCAATCAAACATCAATCATACATATGTTGAATGCTAAAATCAACACAATTACATCAAGAATTCAACTTTTCCTTAAGAGGTTAGAAAAACCAAAGCTAACTAATCACGAATTCACCATATTCAACAAACTAAACATGGTTCTAAAGGGAAACAAGAATCAGACCCTCCCCCAGAACTACAAGACACACTAAAAGAACTCCCAAGAAACAACGATATGATGATCAAAACACAACAAACCAGAAAACAACAAGGACAATAACAAAAAAGGGTTTTGGCTTAGAAACGAAAATTCCCAGAAAAGAGATCACCCCGGAAGATCATTGATCCAATCTTTTAACACAACAAACGAAACAAGACACACTAAAAGCCCGACTCCAGGAGACAAAGATACGATGATCAAACACAACAAACCAATAAAACAGGACGAAAACGAAGGTTGGTTTTGGCTCAGAAACGAAACCGAACCGAACCTTTACCTGAGAGCTTGGTAGGCTTCTTCCAATCGGATACTATGAGAAAACAACAGCGGCAACGGGGTGTTTAAATAGGCGGTTGAGTCCCCGCGGAGAGGAGACATAACCGCGGGTTAAGGATATCTTTGGATTGGTCCACGTGGATGGGTCTGAGATCAGAATCTTGACTCGTGGAAGGTCGAGATTGCAGAATAAATATTCTAATTAATCGGAATAAATAATAATAATAATAAAAAAAAGGCGTGGATATCACGCGTAATGAGGGATTAACCGACCCACAAGCTGGAGTCGTAAGGGAAAGAAGAACGAACAGGGGGGAAGAATCTGGAAATTTGAAGGAGAACAATATACGGTCCAGGTCAATTCAAATCCATTTGGAATATTTTTGTTCTTTGGGGTGGCTTGCTTTGATTTTTTGTGGCTACCCAATCTTATGCTACCAAGTTGGTCTCTCTCTTACCTACAAATCGATTTTGCTTCGTTTACACTTCGATTCGGTGATATCATATATGTCACATCGATTGTACATTATAATATAGTTAACTATTTTTAATTCTTTTTAATTTGTTCAATTACTTTTATAAAATAAAATCATAAAACTCAACAATCCAAAATAAATAATTCTTTACTGCTTAATATAAACCGCGATATTCACGTGAGATAATTAAAATTTATCATAACATTTATTGCGAATATTTTTAACATATTAAAGAGGTTTGTCATGTGAAAATTAGGTATGATAATTACCCAGTAGGGCCAGATTGATGAACTAGATATCATGAACATGCCCAGAAGCATGTCTTAATCGTTGTTCCTAAGAAAAAGAAGGGAGTGAAAGAGCCACATGACTTGCTTCTTAAGTCAAAGTGTGTCGGCTCCGTGTGCGCGTCTCAAGCTGCTTTCAAAGGGGATGCTGCCGCCATTCTACCTAGTACTCAAGGGGGGTAAAGCTCCCACCACCAGCTGTTTATGACAAAAGCATCATTGTTTCATTAACAATCATTGGCTGTACAAAAAGCTTTCAATGCAAAATCAAACGAGTGATCCCTCTGAAGAGGGAACACGAACATTTTAGCTATGGTACACAACAAGCTATAGGTCGGTGATCGAAATTCGTTGTGTATTGAGTACCTATTGTACAACAAAAGGGTCAATACAGAAATGTTCACAGGTAAGAGGAAATGGGATCTGGAAGTTATGTGCTTGCGTGGTCTGGTAAGCGCTTGAGGTCCATCTCGACTTGGTGGATTGTCCATTGCATATTTTCCAGTTTCTGTAAGTAGGCGGTGATGTTAATGTTTGTCGAAGGAAATTGAGTTAAGACTGCTATTTGTTAGCTGATATTTACCTTCACGATTTCATGGTACTGCCTTGCAATAGTATCGAAGTGAGGATCGACACCTTGATACTCACGTAGACGTGTCACCTGTTGAAACATGAGTTGATAATGTAAATAGGATAAGAAACAGAAAGTAGCAAAACTTGGACGAACACAATGGCAACCAAAACAGAAACAACCATAGGCAGAAGTTGGCCTTGCCAAATTTTCCCCCTTTGAGGCAGTGTTAGGGTCACAGTTGTGAAAATAAGAATTATTCGTACATTCTAACAATTAACTGTCAAACTAGAAGATAGATAATGGAACATACTGCTTTATTATATGCAGCAGAAGCTTCTTCCGTAGCCTCGAGGAGATATTTCCTGGCAACAAAGTGAGACAAGGTTATAGCCCAATATTGAAGCAGTCTGATAATTATGTGCATCACCCTTTAAAAGTACCTTATTTTATGTAATGCTGGTATCGACTCCTGAGTATAAGTTTCAAGCAAGAGAACATGCTCCAAAACCCTGAGACAATAAATGCACGTATGACAGGCTAATTCGAAAGATGAGCAGAAGTATGCTGTGCATGAGATCAAATAAACACAAATAAATATGTATGAATATGCTATTTCCATATTTCTATAACATAAATAAAAGAAATGCTAAACAACATGATGGTAGAGCAAACAATCCAAATATAGCAAGTAAAATAGGGCAACAAACCTTAATTTTGCATTCATGGTCTCACATCTTTTGCAGAGCCACGTCTTCTGTAATTCATCCTACAAAATTTGTCAAAGACAAGTTTAGAGATCAGTCCAAGGAAGAAAAAGAACATAAAACATATAGAAACCATCAACAGATACAAATACTGTCATTTACTTCTACTACTAAAAACGCCTTAAAAGAAATTCTACTATTAAAAACATTAAAAGAACTTCCTAGCATAATGCTTACATATTTATGTTGATGTTGCAACTTCAAATCTTTGACAAGCTTAATAAGCACTCCAAGTATCTGCTCTAGGACCTGTCAAGAGAAATTGCTGTACATCACATCTCATGCAAACAAAACAAACTCCTTTTAAAAGCATGATGTCATCCACAAAAACATCTAGTGAAATGAAAACTATCTTATAGCTCTGATGACAAAAGATCTAACAAAATGAACTGTCTCCATCTCATATATATATTTTTTTTGGAAGGTGTCTCCATCTCATATGGATTGACCATTCACCTACATTGTAATATTCAGCAAATTTCCTATCTGCCGAATAGAGATCCTCCCGCAAAGCGGCTTCTTCCCTTTCAATCTCCTCAATTATCAACTTAACCCTGATAAATGAAATATTATAACATGTGATCAATATCAAGCATATAGTGATACCAACCACATCAAAGAAGGAAAGAAAGTAACTGAAACCTTTCTGGAAGGCGAGAACTTGAACTTTGACTTCCAGAAGATGAGTCTGCAGCACGATAACAATGGTAATATCAGGCAAATAACTATTGAAAAAGGCAAATATGTTAACATATTTGCGACCACATTCTAATTTGCACTTCACTGCAGTTATCTAGGCCTCTGACTCTCTGAATAATACGATGGACAACAAGACCTATGGACTAATTTCACAAACCAACACTAAATTTAGGGACAGAACATTATGAAGGAAGGATGAGGTGTTTCCAAACAGCAAGCCAAAATGCACTGGCATATATAAACTGGATAATAAGAGAAGGGAGAGAAGCAAGTGATGCATGAAATTACCAATATCATCAACGAAGGCATCTGCTAACTTGTCACATTTAGATTTCAAACGAACATCAATCTCCCTTGAAAGAGCTAACTGATAGTCAGCCATATCCTAAAATCACCACATTCACAAAAATTTTATTATAAGAAGGCTCAGCCAGTGTAGATGATGATTAAATCATATGGCAACAGAAGCAAGGACCTATTTTGTAAATAAAGATTCAGAGAATATTTTTAGATTAAAAACTTTCAGACTCCATCTGCCACCATGATGCAAAGTTTACGTACCATTGACAATGGCACCCTTTGAAGCTGAGTTTGCCACAAATAAGCAGGTGTTATTCCAAGAAAGCGACTAGGCACACCAACACCAGGTTCCCCCAAATCACCAGCATTATTCGCAGCTGCAGCACTATTCGCATAATTAACTGAGTTTGAACTTGAGCTGATAGTGAGACTGGTACTGGTACTATCGAGTGAACTCCGTGACATTATACTCCATTTTTCAATTTCTTCCTCATGAATTTCCCCATCGTTAGATATAAGTGGAAGTCTCAATCTTTGAGCCGCTTCAGCAACAACCAATCGGTGCTCTAGAGTCTCATAAACCTAAAGTTCATAAAACACATAGCATAACCTTTTCTCAGATTCTTAACTATAAACACTCTGCTAGTTTATTACTTTTGCTACTTACTTCTCACAATTTGCTTTTAACTTATTAAAAAGTAGTCATAAAGGAGTAGTAAATATAGGGAAAAAAAGGAAAATCGTAATTGATCAAAGAAGAACAAATGAACAAGCGAAAAACGGGTCTTAACATTAGCATTCCCTATAAAGGTAAAATCAAACATTTTGCTATAAGGTAAACAAAATCATATGTTTACTATCTAACTCTTCCTTTTGCTGCAAAAGGTAATTCACATTTATCCTATAACTTTCTCAATTAACCTCAAACAATGAAAAAGAAAAAAGAAACATAAAAACTAAAAATTAACATATATTGAAACCTGAGGAGAGTTCTTCAATCCAAGCTGTGGATAAAGACCTTGAAGGTCTCGAATCCCTCCGAGATTTGCCACGGAAATCGCTTGCTGATACTCTTCCACCATAGCTATTGCTTCACAGTAAATTGCCTGCAAAATTTTACATTTTTCTTTTCACAAATGTTTAAAAAATGAAGGAAAATTAATTCATACAGAAAATTTTTTAAAAAAAATTAAAATAAATTATCACCATTGCTTCTAAGTAACGTAATCTTTCTCTCGACATCTCCTCCCTCGCCTGAAAATCGAAATTCATCACATTATTTAACAAGAATTCACTCATCACATTGTTTTAAGAAAAAGAAACAAGATTTTTAAAAGAAAAAAAGGATACCAGTTGGAGATCGTAATAGGCGGATTTGGAGACGAGAGATCCATCGGGGGCTAAGCAATGGCGCTCTAGCTGATCGATTACTTGGATGACGTCAGCCGGTAAGTTTTGCCCTCCTTTCACCATGAATGCTTTCTTCGTTTTCGCTTCGAAAGAAAGAAACTTGAACGAAAAAAAGCCGGCTTTTGGGATTTTTCAAACTGGAGAAAAATGGAAGGAGAGGGTGGTCCGAGGACGTTAAATTACCAAAGTAACCCTTCATTATCATGGGAGCAATGGCCTTTTTAGTAAATATAATTTCCAAAAAAAGGCCAATAAAAATGAGTTTTTTTTAAAAGAAATTTTAATTTCTTGAAAGTCGGCCATTGTTTCGTGGTCTGAAAGGACAAAAAGGAGCGAACTTTCATTAAAATCCCTGACAAATCTCAACCGCCTCTCTTTTCTCGACGAAATCGGAATATCAGAAAGAAGAGAGAAAGAAAAATTTTGATGGAAAAAGGAAAATCTGCCGCCAAGGCATTAGAAATCTCGTTGAAGAAGCTCGATTTGAACCCCTATCGGAACTCCAAATCGTCTCATTCGATCCCCTCTCTACACTCTTCCAGTAATCTTCTTTCTCCCTCGCTTGAAATTTCTTAATTTTCAAGTTATTTAATCATTGCAAAATCGAGTTTTGGAATTTCTGTTTGTGATTGAAACGGAAGGAACGAGAAAATAATGCAAATTTATTATTTTTATTGAAAATTTTTGAAAAAAAGATTACGTTTTTGATGATAGGATTACGCGTTGAGAAGAATAAACCTCCTAGTTTAGTGAGCTTGTGCCTTGGAGTTGTTGGCCGGCATTTGGAGGATATTGTCGAGGATTTGAGTGAGATTGCTGCTAGTTTTCCCGCGGATATTAAGGTGAAGAACTTAATGATAGCTGTTCATCCTTAGTTGTTTGTAGTAACAATGTATATGTTAGGATTTGTTTTGCTATAGTTTTGTCCTTTCGTTCCTTTCGAGTTGATGATCGATTAGGTTGATAGTTCCATCCTATGGGTGATGTATGCATTATCAGTTGTTTCCCTAAGGTTATAGTTCGATTCAGTCGGTTAGGAGAATCATAGTTTATTCGTTGTTGAATTGCTTAATGATATGTTATCAATTCATCCTTTCATTTCTTTCGAGTTGATGATGATTTTGTTAACAATTTGTTGCTTAGGTTGATAGTTCCATCCTATGGATGATTAACGCCTTATCATTTGTTTCCCTAGGGTTATTGTCTGATTCATTGGGTTAGGAGAATCATAGTTTATTTGGTATTGAATTGCTTAATGATATGTTATTAATTCATCCTTTTGTTCCTTTCAAGTTGATGATGATGAATTTGTAAACAACATTTTGCATAGGTTGATAGTTCCATCTTATCAATGATTAATGCATTATCATTTGTTTCCCTAGGGTTTTAGTTTGATTCATTTGGTTAGGAGAATTGTAGTTTATCCATTGTTGAATTGCTTAACGGTATGTTTCCAATTCGATATCTAGAATCGTTGCTTGGGAAGCTTTGTATTAGTATTTTCCTAAAGCTTATTAATGGATGATGGCAGATAACATTGGCAGCAATTGCAAGGAGAAGAAAGTTACTAAATGATGATGTCATTGTCTCCTTAGCTGATAGTTCTTGGGAAATTCTTGACCTTTCTGGTTCAGATGTTTCAGATTTCGGCTTAGCAAAAGTAGCTGAAATGTGCAAATCTCTTTGTGCTGTGGATATAAGGTATGAATTGTTGGAATCGTCATTTGAAATCAATTAATAAATCAATTACTGAGACAAGTTCTTAATGCAGCCAATGCAACAAAATTACTGCCAATGGTGTATCGGAACTCGTGCAGCACTGCCATTCACTGGAGACGTTGAGATGCGGGTAAGCTCTCATCGGCACGCACATTATTCATTAGGGGTTTTTAGCATGCAGTTCTTGTCAGTTTTCAATGTATAAGTTCTGTGAATTTATAGGTTCATTATGAGTACCGAGTTTTTATATACTCTTTGAAAGTATTAATAATATAAATGATAATGAGCTCATATCAGATGAGATGTACGTAGAATAAACAGACATGAAGTATTTTGATTGAACTGTATTAGTTTGCAAAGAATGAAAAGGCGCTACCATTTTAAAATCTTCAGAACTTGTCACACCTTCAAGATATAGAAATTTATTTTACCAAAGTTTTTCATGCAGGCAACTGGTTAGACTTAGTACTTCCAACCTCTTTTTTACTGTTCCAATAGCATGAAATGAAATCATAACTGGATATTTGGGTTTGACTAGGGGTATAAACCTCATAACAGGCTATGAACCAAAGTTAATATTGCAGAGGGTGCCCTTCGAGTGAGTCTACAGCCCGAAGATGCTTGGGCATATTGAAGCCAAAGCTGAACGATGTGGGGGGAGATTCTTGGGAGGAACTTGATACCATGGAGATTGGTCGTGGCGCACAGTCTTTGCGTTGGCTTGTGTGGGTATGGACTTGCTCTTATTGAGTTTGACTCTTCGTCCTTTCAATCTCTTGACACTTTCCTGCTTGCTCTTCTTCTTCTTCGGAGTGTTTGTTACAAACCCTATCACTTCTTTTTTGGCAGCCAAAGATTGATAAAGACTCATTGGAGATGGTGTCTACCGAATGCCCACGGATAATAGTAAATCCAAAGCCATCACTATTCGGTTTTAGAGGAACTGAAGTTCCCAGGGAAGCATTGCCCGATGTTGCTTTGGACGATCCCATCATCAAGGACATCGATCCCAAAACATGGGTTTTCTGCCGGTTTACACCGAAGGCCATATCCCAAACACTTTCAAGTCCCAACGAGTTATCCCTGGCAGAAAAATTTAGACTCGCCTTTGTGGAAAGAGACACGCGCTTAGCTCCAAAGCGTGCAAAGAATGCAAGACAGCATCAGCGTCGTGCAGAGAGGGAGTGGATGATGACAAGTACAAGAGCCAAGGCATTAGCTCTGGCCTCACAAGCAAGCAAATCTCTACATAGTCGAAGCTGAACCATACTAGCTTTCCATCATTAATGTTCCTTTTTGGTTGTAAATTAGAAACTGTAAAGTATGCTATAGTGAATGGAGGAAAGTAAGGGTATGGTGATTAACTTTGTTTTTGCATTTTTGCCTATATCTATCACTGGCATCCTCTAGGAGGCGGCTGATGGAAGCTTGGGAGATACATTCGAGAGCCCAGAGAAAGCTGTGGATATTTGGTCTTTGAAGTAAAATGTTATACTTTTCATACTAAGACATCCTGCTTCTGTGAAGTTAGGGTTGTAAATCATGAGTTTGATTCACACTTAAGAGCTGTGTTAATTGAATGAGCCTTGACCTATTTGTAATTTTTGCATGGAGCATTGAAACCTAACTAGAATATGGTACTGGGTAAGATACTTGTTAATCTTGGGAGTATTTGAACCTAAATCCGATTAAAATTTAATTAATCACATAAATCATTGCTTAATTCCTGAATGGTGATTATTAATACTCATGAAAAACTCAATTTAAATCTGAATCAATCCTCGTGAAAAACTCAATTTAAATCCGAATTGGCATTAAAACTATATTTAGAATCAATTTTTATGTATATTATTCATAAATATTAAATAATTAATTTAATATATAAAATTAAAATTTAATATTTATAATCGAATTCAGATAATTATAAGATATTCTAATTCTACTTAATCAACTCGAGTAGTACAAAATTACAAGATATTTTTAATTCTACTTAATCGAGTCAAATAATGCATGTAACTGATTATATATTAACCAACACTGTCTTTACCCTATTATCTTAATCCTAGGCTATTAAATCAGGCAGGACAGATCTTTCCATCTTATAACCAAAGGATCCCAGCCCATATTTTCAGAAAGGTAAGTTTTCCAGATATGGGTTTGAAGAATTCTCAATGTCATCTGACAATATTGATCTTCTTTCTGACATAAAACACAGAGAGAGAGAGAGAGAGAGAGAGAGAGAGAGAGAGAGAGAGGAAAGGAGGGAGAAGAAGAGATAAGGAAACCAACATTACTTATTATATAGAGGATCATCATCAATACCAACTTGAAGCAATACCAGAGGAAGTTGTTCTTTCATATTAGCATTTGACAGAAACCAATCTAATGAATGCCGTGAATGGCCACTATGGTAATTGAATACAAAGTAAGGGGAAAAAAATAAGAAATAATAATAACAATGATAATAATAAAGAACACCCTGAGAAGAGCACAAAAGAATTGCCTATCTATGGAAAATATCACCAAGCCTCTGTTGATTACCCTACTTATTAAGCCAATATTAATAGATCTAGAAGTTAAACCTTTGCAGCCCAAAGTTGGAAAAGAAGTTACCGTTTCCGACCAAGAACAAGGCAAAGATAACCAAGGTGGTAAGGAGGACCCACATCCATGGCTGCATCCTTCTCTTGCCCCGGTTGCGAAGAGGAGGGGGAATAGATTTTGCCTTGCTCTGCTTTGTGAACTGTGATGGCTTTTGAGGCCTTTTCGCCAGGATCACCGGTTTCTCTTTGTTTTCAGATTCTTTTGGAGTTTCAGTGGGAGTTTCGGGAGCTGGAGCAGGTTCGACTTCATCTGCAGCATTTGCATCCCCTGCTGCAGCTGTAGCCACCTTTCTTCTTTCCTTCTTCCTTGCCCTCTTTTCTCTTTCCTGCATAAAGAATACTTATGCTGAATCAGTACAGCCACAAGCAAAAAATATTACGCTTCACAAAGAACTGACTGAACAGAATATTATTGTATAGTCAGAGGAATTCACCTTCTCTTTCTGTTCAGCTTCTTTCTGAGCTCTTAGTGCAGCCCTGACTTGGGCCTTCTCTGCAATTCGTCTCTTCCTCTCTTGTGCCTCCTTAGCTTTAGCTATCTCCTCCAACCGACGTTGCTCCCTCAGTTTAGCTGCTTCCTCTGCCTTTCTCAACTCCTCTGCCTTCCTAGCCAATTCCTCTTCCTCCTTTGTTCTCTTTGGTTTTTCTTCTCTAGCCTCTTCAATTTCATCCCTGGAAGAGGCAGTTGTTGAGCCACTTACTGGATGAACAGATTTCACAGATTTCTCTGATTTACTTGTCTGACTCTTTTGCTCCACAGCCTTTGTCACAGGTTTATCATTTGCCTTTTCAGCTTTTGCAAGCACTGGTTTCTCTTGTATTCGTTCTTC